TTTGGTCCAGCTGGACACACTCCTTAGGCCATTTCCCCAGGAGGGGCTCAGTCTCACGAGCCCGTCTTCTCTCTAGAATGGGGGCAGGTCCCCAAAGGGACCAGGTGGGCAAGGGCTCTGGTGTGTGTGCCCGTGTTCGTGTCCCCAGTGCCCAGGAGGGTGGCTTAGATCAATCAGAGCGAGGGCCGCGAGCCTGGTGGGCCCCTCGACACCGTTGCCTTAAGCTCCTACACCTGCAGGGTTCACTGCAGTAGCCTCAAGAAGCAGGTAGGGTCTCGACCATTTCCGTGTGGGGCCTCGGGCACTTTCCAGGGGATCCTTCCAATCCCAGGTGCTGCCCGCATTGGCTGGCCTGCCTGCCTGCCTGCCTGCTTGTCTGCCTGTCTGTCTCTCTCCCTCTCTTTTTCTTTTCTTTCTTTTTTTTTTTTTTTTTTTTTTTTTTTTGCTTTTTGGGTCACACCCGGCCATGGACAGGAGTTCCTCCTGGCTCTGCACTCAGGAATTACTCCTGGCGGTGCTTGGGGGACCCTATGGGATACCGGGGATCGAACCCGTGTCGGCCGCGTGCAAAGCAAACGCCCTCCCCTCTCTGCTATCGCTCCATCCCCACTCTCTCACCTTTTCTATTTGCCACATGCCAGTCTTTTTGTTATGCTCCTGGGTAAGGGCCTGACTGTCTTCTAATTCCTCTATTTATTATGTTTAAAATGTCTGCAACTCTATTTTTAATTTCCTCGAGCTCTTTCTCGTTGCCTTTTTAAAATAGCTGCCGCCTCTACGCCATAGTTCCTCTTATTTCTCCGAGGAGATTAATTATAGTTTTTTTTCCTTCTATTACTTTGATTATTTTTCTTCTCAGTGGTCCCCGGGTTTTAATTCCAGTTTATTGGGGGGGGGTCTTGGCCACCCCCTCCCACTGCAGTGTCTGGTGATCTCTGCTCTTGGGGATTAGACCAGAAGTGGGGTGCAGGGAGCCTGGCCTGCAGGAGGAGCCCACTTCGCGGGTACCCCGAGTGTTGCCTGAAGTGTTCATGGCTGTGCCTTCCCCAATGAGGGGCCCTGGCTGGCTTTTGTCCAAGCCCCTTCCCTCGAGACACTGAACATGTCACGTCAGCTCTCCTGCTTGTGGGGCTACTCTGGGGATGCTCTTTTTCAGTTTGGGGCCACACCTGCTGGTGCACAGGGTTGGGGATTGAACCCCGGGCCTCTAGTCCAGGTGCCACCACTGAGGTCTGGGGACACTTTCTTATCAGCTCACTCATTCATTCGGTCACCCACTTAGTCTCTCATTCACTCACCCACTGAGTCTCTGGTTTACTCATTCATTCACCTATTCCCACGCAGTGTGGATGCTCAGCTGGGGAGAATTGGGGTGACAGTGGGGGACAAGGCGACCCAGAGTCTCATCGGTGTCTGATGAGCTTCCTGTGGTGGCAGGGCCCCCCCGGAGAGAGGGGGCAGCGAACCCACCAGGGCTGGCGCTCGGTGCTGGTGGGTAGAGGCTTCCAGAAAGCCTTCCAGTGTGGGTCCTAAGGGCTGGATGGGGTTCACAGGGCACCCCCCCACCTGGCCCAGACCCAAAGTTCTGGGCAGGTGGGCAGCAGAAAATATTGCCCCTGTGCTCCAGAGGGCAGTGTCCCCCGGTCTCGCTGCCACCCAGCGAAGCCAGAACAGGGACCCCAGCCATTCCCCGCCGCCTGGTCCCCCTCATTCCTCCTCACTGGTAGTCGAGGCACGTTTCCTTGTCTGTCACCTCCTGCCCAGATACCTCAGCACGGCGTGTGCTCTGGGGCACTTGGGGTGCCTTTCCCTGCCCCCGTCCCACTGGCTGGGGACACTGGGTCGTGTGTGACACTGCAGAGCTCCGCGACGGTGCGCTCGGGTCAGGGTCCAGCCAGGCCCTTCCGGCCCTCTGGCCTCTCCCACTCCGGTGGCTTTGGGGGATAGGGCAAGGGGAGGAGGGCGAGTCGGGGTTCGGCGTCCCTCCCTTCTCAGCGGTTCCGCTGCCCACACCAGCCATCTGGGATGGATGGCCCAGGGCCCAGGGGGCCTCCCCATGGGAATGTCCACGCCCACACCAGGCAGCCCCGGCTGTCTCCCTAGGGCCCTGTGGGAGATGCTGGCGAGGAGGTGGTGGAAGTCACACTCACGCCTGAAGAACATTCCAGAGTCCTGGCAGCAGCTCTGGCAGGGGGTGGCCTGACAAGGGACTCTACAGTGCCTGGCTGTTGGGCACTGTGGCAGCGAGGCAGCTTACACCCACCGGCTGCTTGGGGCGCCCGGTTCTGACTGCCGGCCTGCGCTCTGCCCGGCGTGCTCTCTCGAACTCGGGGGATCCTGGGTGGGAACCAACATGGGACCTTCCGCTCGAGGTCGTTTCCAGGCGCTGCTTGAAAGGGCCTCGCCCCTTGTCCCTGAGGGTGGTGGGTAGTTTGCCTGCAGTGACCCCCTTCCTGGACAGGGGTGCGAGCCTGTGGCCAGGCCTATGGAGTGGGACAGTGGAGGCTGCAGGGGCCATGCCAGGGCTCTCATCACTGGAGCCTGCGCAGGGGTGCGGCTGGTGCCAGGAGGGTCTCTGTGTGCAGGCACCCTGCCGGCTCCTGGTGGCACCTGGTCAGGGGGTCCGGCCAGGGTGGTCACCTCAGTTCTGTTGGGAGCAGCCTCCGAGCCCCCTACAGCCTTTGGGGAGGGGCGCAGGGCAGCTCTGGGCCCGGAGTCTCCTGCTGCCGCACGCCCCACCCCTGCAGCCAGGCCACCAGTGGGGGAGCAGCGCTCCTACACCCCTTCCCCTGCTTTCAGCCTTGGCCGCTGCCCAGCCTCCGGCAGCCTGGGGCGAGAACTTTGTAACCTGGGCAGTGGCAGGGCGGGGTGGCCACTGCAGCCTCAGCAGAAGCAGCAGGTCTGGTGGCGCGGTGAGTCTGGGGACCCGGCGGCCAGCTGCGCCCTGCACTCCCCGACAGCAGTGGCCTGGCCACATTCCCCACAGCGGTGGGTCAGCCCGGGGGCTGCGGGATGATTCTGGGGCCACTGAGGGGTGTGGGGTTGTGGGAGAATGAGCCCCCCTGGGGCGGGGAGTGTCGGGGGACGTGTGTGTGTGTGTCGGGGAATGTATGTTTGTGGGCATGTATGAGGGTGTATGTGGATGTGTGTATGGGGGATATGCGTAAGTGTTCGTATGTGGGGACATGTGTGTGAGTATATGTGTGTACAGTGGGGATACGTATAAGTGTGTATAGATGAGTGTATGTGAGGGGGTGTGTAAGTGTGTGGGCATATATGTAGAGGTATGTGTCAGTGTGAATGTATGAGGATATATTGTCTTTGTATGTGGGAGTGTGTCTAAGTGTATTTGTGAGCTTGTGTATGTATGCAGGTATATGTGTGTAGATTAATATGTATGTGGGGGGTGCGTGTATGTGAGTGTATGTTTGTGTGGACATATACCAGTGTGAGTGTGGATATATGCAAGGGTGTATTGTGTAGACATGTGTTTGTGTGTGTTGGGGCAGACATGTCGCGGTATGTGTGTGAACATTTACTGGGGGAGTGTGTACATGTGCCAGTATGTGTGTGTGTGTATGTTTGTGTTGAGGCAGACATGTGGTGGTGTGTGTGTGTGTGGACATGTGCTGGGGTGTGTGTGTATGTGGACATGTGTTTGTGTGTTGGGGCAGACGTGGCGGTGCATGTGTGAACATGTGCTGGGGAATGTGTGTGAGAATATGTGCCAGTGTGTGTATGTGGACGTGTGCTGGTGTGTGTGTAGACATGTGTTGGGGTATGTGTATACGTGTGGACATGTGCCATGTGTGTGAGTGTGTGTGTGTGTGTGAACACATGTGCCGGGTGTGTGTCTGTCTGTGGGTGTGTTGGGCAGAGGAGCCGGGTGGGCACGGGCCCAGGTCCATTCGGCCGGGCCGGATGGAGTTGCCCAATATGGAAATGGGCAAACAGACCTCAGGTGCCGGCTGGCAGGTGGGGTGGTGGCCCGGGGCAGCCCGGCCACTGACAGCAGCGCTGGCAGACTCGGTGCCCTCTGCCCCACTTTCCCCACTGCAGGGGCCCCGACCTTTCCTCCAAACACCCGCCTGGCTGGCGCCGCCCCCCGGGACTGGCGGGCCGCTGCGCGTGGGGAGTCAGCTCGGCCTGGAGCCCCAGCTGGTGTGTGGGGGTCTGTGGGGCAAGGGGCTTCAGACGTTGGGTCCTGACCATGCGGTGGAGCTGCCGGGCCCCCCACGACCCCCCGCTCTGTGGGAGGAGGGAGTGGGAGGGGGTGGGCATGCAGACCCTGAGCAGGCTGCCCCGGGAAAAGGGGGGCATCCGGGCTCCTCACTGGCCCCCAGGGGTCCTGTGGAGGGACCCCGCTGTGGGAGGCGGGGAGCTGGTTCCTCCACATGCCAGCCCCGGAGAAGGTGCTGGTAACTTGGCTGATTGTTTCGAGGTATTTCCCGTGTCTGGTGGTGTTGCCTGGGGTCTCCAGTGTCTTGTGACAGAAGCCGCTGTCCGAATGTGTCTGCGTGGGGTTGGTGCGGGGTGGGGGGTTGGGGATTCTCCGAGGCTGAGACTGGCCCACAGGGCATGACAAAGGCTGGAGATGAGTTTGCAAACGTGTCAAGGGCCAGGGTGCAGCCCGTGTCCTGGAAGGCTCCCTCCCGCACTGCACCCTGTCTGCTGAACAGGAGCTGTGTGGCAGGAAGGAAGGGCTAGGGGTGTCCGTGCCCAGGCCAGCTGTTAGCTTCTGTGCTCTGCTGGGCTCTTTGCTTCTCTGGCCTCAGTGGACCTCTATGTCCAGAGTGGCGTGAGCCTTGCGCCCTCTGGCATGGCGGGGGACCTTCAGGGCCACCCCCCACCCCAAGAGAGCTGCCTGCCCTTTCTGTGGGCGGTGCCGAGCAGGCTGAGGGGCTGGAGTTCATTGCCCTGGGTGAGGTGTGAAGCAGAGGGAGCCCAGCCCCCAGCTGCGCGGCGGGTTCCGCTCCTCACGGGGATTTCGACACTTGCAGGCAGGCGGACGGGCAGCTGCAGCCGCCGGACACCTCTCCAGTCGCCCCAGCGCTCCTGAACCCGCGCGCCGGCCACGTGTCTCCCGCCCGCCTTGGCCCTCCCAGAGCTGCCCAGAGTAAGTAGCACAACGATCCCGGGCTGGGGCGGGGAGGGCCCCCCAAGGAGGGATCGTCGCCGACTCAGCCCCACCTGGCCTGGAGCTGCCTGAATCTGCTCTGTGTCCCCCCAGCACCCCAGCAAACGTGGGGTGAAGGGGACTCCCGCTGTCCCCTGTGGGCCTCCCTGTGTCCCAAGCCTTTGGCAGGGGTGTCCATGTTTCATCCCCTGCCTCCGGTCAGGAGGTGCTTCCCGGCACTGTGGGCCCGTTAAGGCGCCTGGGACTCGGAATGTGACCCCAATGCTTGGGCCTTGGCAGCTTCCAACCCCACAGCCACCAGCACCCCATGTTCCCTTTGCCCCCACAAACGGCTCTGTCACCCACGTCAGCAGTTCTTCCTACCTGGCATCTCCCAGTTCCCCAGGCCCCCGTTCCAGCCTGGAACTTTCTGGAACATATGTGTTTGTCCCTTCCTTCAGCGGGGGGTCCTCCCCTGTGGCCTCCCCGACCTCTGTGCACCCCACGAGGCCTGGTCTGTTTTTGGCAGCGCCCTCCCCCCCAGATTCTGGGAACGGCCTGTTCCCTACTGGAACTGAGTCTGACCGGAAGTGGCCTCCCGCCCGCCCCTGCCCACCTTTGCTCTTCTCCTCCCTCACCCCTGGCTTCTGTTTATTTCTCCTCTTGGCTTTTCTTTCTGTTCTGGCTCACGTCCCTTCCGTCGGGTTGGCCGTAACTCACCTCGTGGTTTCTGCCACTTGGGCTTTATTTGGTGAATATATTTTTAACGTTCCCCACTTAAAACAAGGTGCTTGGAAACGCACCTTTAAAGCTTTCCTCAGAGATGAATCAAATGGTTCGGTGATCCGAGGCCCCGGGGCGAGGAGCCTGCGGCACTGCACACTGTTGGGGGTTCCCTGCTGCGGGGCAGGGAGTCCTCTCCCTTGGGGGCGCAGTCACCCTCAGTTGTTTATTTTCTTTGAAGGTGTTGGAGCCGAATCAGGCAGTGCCCAGGGCTTCCTCCTGACTCTGGGCTCAGGGATTTCTCTTGGTGGGGCTCAGGGTCGGTCTGCGGTGCCCGGGATTGAACCTGGGTCGGCTGTGTGCAAGGCTGGAGCCTGAGCCCCAGTACCCTCTCTCCCACCCACTGGTTTGTTTGCTCTCTCTTTTCTCCCTCCCGTTGTTTATTGTCCCGCCCATGGGCTCCCCTGCCTGGCTCTGGGCACGGCCTCACGGCAGGCGTGTCTGCACCCAGCGGGCCTCAGGCCGGCTCAGGAAAAATTCTTGTTTTTAAAAAAATTTTATTGAATCACTGTGAGATAGTTATAAGCTTTCATGTTTGGGTTACAATCACACAAAGATCAAACACTCATCTCTCCACCAGTGCACATCCCCCACCACCAGTATCCCCGGTATACCCCCCCTTTCCCACCGTCCCCCTGCCTCCATGGCAGATATGATTCCCCATAATCTCTCTACTTTTGGGCATTATGGTTTGCAATACAGACCCTGAGGCGTTGTCATGTTTGGTCCTTTATCTGCTTTCTGCACACATCTCCCTTCCCGACCGACTCCGCCAGCCATCTTTTTCTTAGTGATTCCTTCTCTATTCCAGTTGCCTTCTCCCCTTTACTCATGAGACAGGCTTCCAGCTATGGGGCAATCTATCTGTCCCATGTATCTATTATCCTTAGGTGTGAGCCTCATGTTATGTTGTTTTATACTCCACGAATGAGTGCGGTCCTTCTCTGTCTGTCCCTCTCTTTCTGACTCATTTCACTTAGCATGATACTCTCCATGTCTATACTGACAACTGCATAGTATTCCATTGTGTAGATGTACCAAAGTTTCTTTAACCAGTCATTTGTTGTAGGGCACTTGGGTTGTTTCCAGATTTTGGCTATTGTGAACAGTGCTGCAATGAACATATAGGTACAGATGTCATTTCTACTGTGCTTTTTTGCATCCTCAGGATATATTTCCAGAAGTGGTATTGCGGGGTCATACGGAAGCTCACAGTCACGGTCACGGTCCTCCCGTTGTTCATCTATTTGCTCGAGCGGGCCCAGTAACGTCTCCATCATAAGACTAGTTGTTACTGTGTTTGGCATATTGAATATGTCACGGGTAGCTTGCCAGGCTCTGCCGTGCAGGCGAGATACTCTCAGTAGCTTGCCGGGCTCTCCGAGAGGGGTGGAGGAATCGAACTCAGGTCGCCATATTGGCTTGTGTGTAAGGCAAATGCCCTACCACTGTGCTATCGCTCCAGCCCATATGGAAGCTCAATTTCTAGTTTTTGAAGGACTGTCCATATTGTTTTCCAGAAAGGCTGGACTAGTGGGCATTCCCAGCAACAGTGAAAGAGTATCCCTTTTTCCCCACATCCATGCCAGCACTGATTGCTTTTGTTCTTTTGAATGTGTGCCAGTCTCTGTGGTGTGTGGTGATATCTCATTGTTGTTTTGATTTGCATCTCCCTGATGGCTAGCGATGTGGAACATTTTTTCATGTGCCTTTTGGCCATTTGTATTTCTTTTTTGAGGAAACTTCTGTTCATTTCTTCTCCTCATTTTTTATTGGGGTTGGAGGTTTTTGTCTTGTACAGTTCTACTAGTGTCTTGTATATCCTGGATATCAATCCCTTATCAGATGGTTATTGGGTAAATATTCTTTCCCATTCTGTGGGCTCTTTCTGTATTTTGGTCACTGTTTCTTTTGAAATGCAGAAGCTTCTTAGTTTGATGTAGTCCCATTTGTTTGTTTGCTTCCACTTGCACGGTCAGTGCTGTTTCATCCTTAAAGATGTTTTTAGCTTCATTTCACATCTGGGCGTGGCTCTGTATCAGGCAACTGCCTGGCATGTGTCAGGTCCTGGGACCCATCCCTGGCACCACGGAAAAGACAAGGTGGAAAAAGAATTCTCTATTTTATGTAATTTTAAACTTTTTATATATTTTGAATGTGGGTGGACTGGAGTGATAGCACAGTGGGTAGGGCATTTGCCTTGCACACGGCCAACCCGGGTTCGATTCCTCTGCCCCTCTCAGAGAGCCCGACAAGCTACCGCGAGTATCTCGCCCACACAGCAGAGCCTGGCAAGCTACCGGTGACGTATTCGATATGCCAAAAACAGTAACAACAAGTCTCACAATGGAGACGTTACTGGTGCCCGCTCAAGCAAATCAATGAACAACGGGAGGACAGTGGTACAGTGCTACATTTTGAATGTGGGTATGTCTAAAAGTTTTTAATTTAAGAGGGCCGGAGCAATAGTGCAGCAGGGAAGGCATTTGCCTTGCACATGGCCGGCCCGGGTTTGATCCCCAGCATCCCATATGGTTCCCTGATTACTGCCAGGTGTAACTCCTGAGTATTGCCACGTGTGACCCAATACAACAACCCCCCCAAAAAAAAACAACCAATAAACACTTAAAACATTTAATTAAAGAGTGGCTGGAGAGATAGCTTGCCTAGCATGCAGCTGACCTGGGTTCAATCCCTGGCGTCCCATATGGCCCCCCCAAGCATCGCCAGGAGTGATTCCTGAGTACAGAGCCAGGAGTAACCCCTGAGCACTGCAGATGTGGCCCGAAGCCAAGGAAAGAACAAACTTAAGAACCATGATTACAAAGTTACTGATAATTGTGCTTTAGGCATATATTCCAACATCAGCCCCACCACCCGGGTCGGCTTCTCTCGGCCAGTGCCCCTCCTCCATCCCGCCCCCACGCACGCCGGCCACCTGGGCGTTATGGAGTTTGGTCATAGCTTAGTTCTCGGGTTTTCTGTGTTGTCGAGTCTCTGGCTCGGCCACTCCCCCACGTCACCAGCATAACAAGTCCCGCCCCCTGCTCCTGTTCCTTCCCTTTCTCATCTTCCTCCTCCTGGCGATTTCTTTGCTTCTCCCTAAGCTGCAGGGCCAAGGGTGACAGGCATCCCCGCCTTACCCTTCTGCTTCTTCGGCCCGTTATTCTTCACAGCAGATTCGCGAGATCAGCCCGTGTGTGTCTTTCTTCTCCCTCACTCCACTCAGCACATCTCAGACTTCTAACCAGGTTTTCGCAAATGGCACGATTTCAAGGCTGCTCGCAGCTGTATAATATTCCACCGCGTGGGCAGGACGCATCTTCATACCCCCCTCCCCCCCCAGTGTGGCGGCTGGTTCCATGTCAGTCAAGCAGCTGATACTGAGTGTGTTTTGTGGAGTGAATGTTTGTCCTGGGGGTAGAAGCTGCAAGTGGAGAATTCTTTATTTTGTATAAAACACGTGCCACAAAGTTGCCGTCGGGGCTGACAGTCCAGCAGCAGAACAGGCTGATGTAGGTCCCCTGAACCCTTCCAGGAGTCATCCCTGAGCACAGAGCTAGCAGTAATCCCTGAGCACTTCAGAGTGTGCCCCCCCCCAGACAAAAACAAAACGTCGCCATCCACCCATTTTTTTTGTTTATGCAAACAAAGTTTTATTGGAACAGAGCTATGTATGTTAATTTATACACTTTCCATTCTTTTGTCTAACAACAAAACTGATTTATAAAGATAGATATTTTCAGGCCCATGAAGACTGAAATATAACCATCCACCCATTTTTAATAGTGCCCCCCATGATAGGCTTGTGAAGGGTCACCCACATGAGGCCCTGCAGTGCTCAGGGGGCAGACGGGGCGCATTTGGAGCCTGGCACAGGCCAGGCTGCACCCCGCCCCTTGAGCCCCCCCCAACCAATGGTCAGAGTCAGCTCGGGCCTCAGTCCTGCCTGGCCTGGGGTCTCCGCCTCCCCTGCACCCTGCTGCAATCCATCAGGCCCTATCCAGTTCCACAGTAGAAGCTCTGCTCAGGGCCCATGTGCCCACCCCAGCCCCCTGTCTAACTTGGGTCTATCACTGGCCTGTGGCCCCATGAGTCACGGAGCAGCTCTCGAGGAAAGGGGGTGCAGCTGTCAGAGTCAGGGTGTCAATCCTGAGCTTTCCCCAGGGCACCCAGATGCCCTCCCCCACCACACCCACTTCCCTCGAGCTGAAGCCACCACCTGAGAGGGACGTGCAGCCCTGGGGGCTGTGGCTGAGTGTGGGTGCAGGCCCAAGTGGGCAGCAGGGCGCAGAGCTGCCGGGGGTAGGTTTGCATCGGCTCCTTTGCCCACAGTCCCGAACCCCTGGGAGCGCCAGGCTGGGCCAAGAGAGAGAGAGGAAGAGGGGGCCCAGCTTCCTCCAGGGCCAAGCTGGGCCTGGGTGCTGCGCCAAGACTGTCACTGGGGTTCTTGCTTCCCCCAGATGCTGAAGTTCCGAACCATCCGCGGGGGCCTGAGGCTCCTGGGTATCCGCAAGACCTCGTCTGCCCCCGCGGCCTCGCCCAATGTCCGGCGCCTGGAGTACAAGCCCATAAAGAAGGTCATGGTCGCCAACCGGGGTGAGCGCCTGCGCGGACCAGGGCTTCCCTCTGCTCGGTGCTTCTCTTAGCCGGCCCGGAGCTGGGGCTGGGGCTGGGGCTGAGAATTCTGACTTCTCCTCCTCCGCCACCCCAGGGGAGATCGCCATCCGCGTGTTCCGGGCCTGCACGGAGCTGGGCATTCGGACAGTGGCCGTGTACTCAGAGCAGGACACGGGCCAGATGCACCGGCAGAAAGCAGATGAAGCCTACCTCATTGGCCGTGGCCTGGCCCCTGTGCAGGCCTACCTGCACATTCCGGATATCATCAAGGTGGCCAAGGTGAGTCAGGACAGGCGGGGGGCTTCTTGGAGGGCTTCTGTGCCCGTGCTCCTCTAGGCTGGCCTTACCGGTGGGTAGGTGAGGGAATCAGGACGTAGGGTTGGGGGGATCCGTGGAAGGATGGGTGGGTTGGTGGATGGGTGGGTGGGAAGATAGATGGATGGGTAGGTGGATGGGTGGGAAGATGGGTGGATGGATGGGGGGGTGGTTGGGTGGGTGGATGGGTGGGAAGATGGGTGGATGGACGGACAGATGGATGGATGGATGGATCGAAGGATAGGTGGATGGATGGATGGATGGATGGATGGATGGGTGGGGAGATAAATGGATGGACGAATGGGTGGGTGGATGGGTGGGTGAATGGTGGGTGGGTGGATGGGTGGAAAGATTAATGGATGGGTGGATGGATGGATGGATGTGTAGAAGGATGGGCGGATGGATGGGTGGATGGATGGATGTGTGTGGAAGGATGGGTGGATGATGGGTGGATGGCTGGATCTGTGCATGAGTGGACAATTGTGGGAGTGGAAGGAAGCAGTGAGGTGGGGCAGTATGAACCACAGGATTTGGTCAAGACCTGTGGGAAGTGATTTGAGGATGTGCTTTTCACGCCCCCCCCCCCCATTCCCCCAGGAAAACAATGTGGATGCCGTGCACCCTGGGTATGGGTTCCTGTCAGAGCGTGCAGACTTTGCCCAGGCGTGCCAGGATGCTGGGGTGCGGTTCATTGGGCCCAGCCCAGAGGTGGTCCGTAAGATGGGCGACAAGGTGGAGGCCCGGGCTATTGCCATTGCTGCAGGTGAGGGCGTGGGGCCGGGGCACTCAGTCCTCAGAGCAACCCCGAGGGGCTGCGCGGCTTGGCGGGGCCGTTGGGCGCTTACAGCAGCCCCCGCCATGCCCGACAGGTGTCCCTGTGGTCCCCGGTACCGACGCCCCCATCACATCACTGCACGAGGCCCATGAGTTCTCCAACACCTACGGCTTCCCCATCATCTTCAAGGCGGCCTACGGGGGCGGTGGCCGAGGCATGAGGGTCGTGCATAGCTATGAGGTGAGGGGGCCGACCCGAGGGGGGCTGCGGGCGGGATCCTGGGAGCAGGTGGCCCCAAAGTTCGCTGGGCCCCGCAGGAGCTGGAGGAGAACTACACCCGCGCGTACTCAGAGGCGCTGGCGGCCTTCGGGAACGGGGCGCTGTTCGTGGAGAAGTTCATCGAGAAGCCGCGCCACATCGAGGTGCAGATCCTGGGTGAGTGGCGGGTGCCCTCCCCAGGCGGGGGGACCGGGGGCTGCGGGCTGTGGGAGGCCTCAGCCCCAGGACGGTGCGCTGTGGCCCGCAGGGGACCAGTACGGGAACATCCTGCACCTGTACGAGCGCGACTGCTCCATCCAGCGGCGCCACCAGAAGGTGGTGGAGATCGCGCCCGCCGCCCACCTGGACCCTCAGGTGCGCTCCCGCCTCACCAGTGACTCCGTCAAGCTGGCCAAGCAGGTGAGGACACTGCGGGCAGTGGGCAGGGAGGGCCTCTCGGGCAGGCCTCAGTGGCCCCCGATCCCGCTGTGGGGGGCGGCGGGGGTTCTCCTTGTGAGTGGGCACACCTAGCGCAGGCCCCGCAGCTGCGGAGCGCCCACTGAGTCACGGGGGCAAAGGAGTGAGGCTAGTCACAAAGCACCTGGTCCCCCAAATACTCCGACCCCGCAGCTCCCCAAATACACAGCATGTGGCCCTCGCTGCACCCCAACACCACTGTGCCTGATCCTACAGACCCTGAGCCTACAGCCCCTCGACCCCGCAGCGCCCCATAGCCCCCAAGCCCAGAGCCCCCTGACCCTGCAGTCCTCCCCCTCTCATCTGCTGGGTGGGGAAATGGGGGGTGGGTTTGGAGCCTCGGAGCTGCTCTCTGCTGTATGTGTGGTGCCCCCCGACACCCCCGCTCCATCTCCCCTAGCGGTGGGCGTGGGTGGCTGGTTGGGAACAGTCTGGTGGGGTCTGGTCTCATCTGGTGGCACTGACGTCACCCTGCACCCCAGAAGCGGCTCACTGGTGGGGGTCTGAGGGGTGTTGCCCTGTCCCGGGAGGGGCGTCCTGAGGGTTGCGGATGCTGGTCCCTGTTCTCTGGACTGAGCTCCTGTCCCCGCCAACACCCAACACCGCCAGGTGGGCTATGAGAACGCCGGGACCGTGGAGTTCCTGCTGGACAAGCACGGGCGCCACTACTTCATCGAGGTCAACTCCCGGCTGCAGGTGGAGCACACGGTCACCGAGGAGATCACCGAGTGAGTGTGGGGACGCCTCCGGGGCACTCCCTGGGGGCCCTTGTCCCTTTGAGGTGCGCTCTCTGGGGCCCCAGGGCCTCGTAGTGGTTGTTCGTGCCAGCACGGGGTAGGGGGTAGCTGGTAGGAAGGGGCAGGGGACCCCAAGCCCTGGCAGCTGTGAGCTCTGCAGGTGAGGAAACTGAGGTTGGTGCATGGGGGCTGGCAGTGGCAGGGCTGAGCTCAGCAGGTGCCCTGCGTGCGGCTCCCTGTCCTGCATTTCTTTGGCCATAGAAGTGGCCAGACGCTGCCCGGTGCCCTGCGGGGCCGTCCAGGCCCCCATGTCTGCTGCTCCGTGGTGGCCTCCCGTGAACCTGTGTGGGGCTCGTGTCCCTTTGGAGGGTGTCGGGATGTTTGTGCCCGAATCTGCGTCTCCGTCTGGGGGTTCTGTGGGAAGCTTTGCGGGGTTCCCTGAGCAGAGACGGCCTCGTGCCTCACCAGCGTCTGGATTTCCTCCCACAGGCCCAGTAGATGCAGGCATGAAACTCCCCGTTTCATTTATTTATTCATTTATTTTGGAGCCACACACAGCAGTGCTCAGGGCTTTCTGCTTGCTCAATGCTCAGGATCACTCCTGGCGGGCCTGGGGACCCTACAGGGTTCTGGGGATGGACGCCAGTTGGCTGCGTGCAAGACAGGTGCCCTGACAACATCACCCGGCCCCCAAACCTCCCACTTACAAAGCCTCGTTCCTCAGTACCCAGCTGTGACGCTCCCTCTGGGGCTGACACCCAGAGACCCCTGACTCCTCTTTGTTCTCTTGAGCTCAAAGTTGGGGGCTGCCTGCCGAGGGGCTCTGCTCACTCCTGCCAACACTGGGAAGTCACAGGCGCCTCTTGACAGGGCTCGGGACTCGGGCGTGATGGTGGCCTGGCCACAGCGTCTGACGGGGGTGGGAGGGAGGGGGCGCATGACTCCGGCTTCCCCCAGCCACAGGGGCTGGACCCCAACCTGTGGGTGCTGAGTGGCTGCTCCCCCTGTGCTGGTGTCTCTAGGAGACACACTGGGGCACAGGAGCCCTTGGACTGGGGTGGCGGTGGGGAACGTGGTCTGGGCTGCACCCCTGGCCCCAGGAGCGCTCCCGACCTCAGTGCCACCACGTGGCCCCAGCGTCATCCTCTTGAAAACGCGGGGTCTGAAGCACCAATCTCGGGCGTTCCCCAGGCTGCTTTGGGGGGCAGGAGGCGGAGAGTGGCGCGCCGGGCACCGCCGCTGCCCCTCCGGGGGTCGATGGCTCAGCCCCTTCTGTCCCCCGCAGTGTGGACCTGGTCCACGCCCAGATCCACGTGGCCGAGGGCCGCAGCCTGCCCGACCTGGGCCTGCGGCAGGAGAATATCCGCATTAACGGCTGCGCCATCCAGTGCCGAGTCACCACCGAGGACCCCGCGCGCAGCTTCCAGCCAGACACTGGCCGCATTGAGGTGGGGCCCGGGTGGGGTGGGCTTGTCCTGGGGGTCGGGGCAGGGGGAGGCTCAGCATGCGCTCACGCTCTGTGGGGGGCCCTCGGCTCTCCAGGACAGGGCAGCTGAGCAGGGTGGGGACTGGACCGCCACCTGCCTGGCGAGCCCCGGGACAGCTCTGCGGGACATCTCCCCTAGATCCAGGGAGGGTCCCAGAGAGGGCGGGGATCACCCTGAGACAGGGGACATGGGGCCTGCAGAAGGAAGGGGCTCCTGGACCGAGATCCCCCAGGGATTCCATTTCTGGAATGTTCCAGTGGGAGCAGGGAGGTCATCAGCCCAGGGCTGGAATGCAGCCCCGGGACGGGCACCTCCATGCCCCGGTCACCACAGAGTATTTTTAGCCGCTGGTTCCTGCTCATGGCTGAGTCCACCTTAAATATTTCATTAAGTTCCTTCCCAGTGAGCCAGCCGCCCCTCAGAAGTGAGGGTCTCCCTCCCTGACTTATCTCTCGGCGGGGGTCCCCAAGAGCATCCTTGAGGGTGCTTGTGATCCAAATACCCTAGACCCCAGCACCTGAGTCTGGGTGGTCCGCCCCGCACCCCACAGTCTGTCTCGTATTTCCTCTATGCCCCCCAGTATCCGCACTGGGCACAGGGGTGAGGGGGGACAGGAAGCCGTGTCAGCGTCAGGTACAAGCCCCGTCACTGGTCCCTCCCCGCAGCAGGGCCCTGCCCGCTCCCCATGGCGAGAGCTGGGCAGACCCCGGGCGGGCACCGTGCCCCCGAGGCCCCCAGGAACAGCCAGAGCGCGGGCGGGCCAGGCGGGGACCTCAGGCCACTCTCGCGCCCCAGGTGTTCCGGAGCGGGGAGGGGATGGGCATCCGCCTGGACAACGCCTCGGCCTTCCAAGGCGCCGTCATCTCGCCCCACTACGACTCGCTGCTGGTCAAGGTCATCGCGCATGGCAAGGACCACCCCACGGCGGCCACTAAGATGAGCAGAGCCCTCGCCGAGTTCCGGGTTCGAGGCGTGAAGGTGAGTCTCGGGGTGGCTGGTGTGGGGAGCCCCACGCTTCCTCCCCCCCAAGGTGCCACTGCAGGGCCTGGGCCTTCCCAGGGATCCTGGGCTGCCGGGGGCCCGTGGGCGCCCCAGCCTCGGCTTGCCGTTATGTGCTGGAGCTGTGGGGACGCAGCATGTGAAGAATGTTCTGGGCTATGTTCTCCCTCTGGAGAGCACGAGGGCTGAGCACAGGCTGCGTATGCAGGAGACCCGGCTTCACCCCCCCATCACCGCTGGGGGTAGCCCCCTGAGCAAGGCCAGATGTGGCCCAGAAGGAAAAAGGGAAACATTGTCAACCAGGACCCCCCCCCCCCCGAGTGGCACAATCCCCCACCCGCTCCTCAGCCGCCTCGTGGCGCCGTGACACCCATGCAGCCAGCCACGGCCCTGGGCCCACCCCCTCAGCCCCCACGGCTGGACCACCCATCCGCCCGCCCTTGGAGGCCCACAGGAGACCAGAGTGCACTGGGGTTCCCCACCAGTTTTATTAGAAATCAGAAACTCCCGCTGGGCGGCCGCAGCCCTGTGTCCGCAGCTGTGAGCACCGTCAGGGCCGCGGTGGCCCCTGTCCTGCCACGGGAGGGGCTTGAGGTACGGTGGAGCAGGGGGGCTGCTGGCAGTCCGGCCCCCCGGCCTGGTGGCTCCTTCCTGTCACACCACGCTCTCTTCGAGCCTCTCGGCGCTGCCCCCGACCCCTCGGCACCCCGCCGCCAGCAGCCCCCCGTGCACAGAGTGACTCCGCCGGGCCCAGGCCCCTCCGAAGCGCCGGGCGTAGCCGTAGCAGCCACCGGCGTCACCCAAGTCCAAGGAGCAGCTGCGCTGGGGGCGCGGCGGGGGGCTCCGCGGCGGGTGGCCCTTAGGTGTGGGGCTGGGGCCGCCGTTGGTCTGAGACTGGACGTGGCTGAGCTTGAGGGGGAGGCGGCCATTCCCGGCCCCCCGGCCCCGAACCAGCAAGGCCACGGTGAAGACCAGCAAGGCTGCCACCAGCACGCCCCCCACGGCCACGGTCAGGGTCCCGCCCAGCACGTGGGCCTGCAGGGCATGGCACAGGGGTGTGGCCGGCGGCGTGGAGAAGTGGGCGCAGCCCAGCAGCCGCGTGGCCGTGAGGTCGGAAGGGCCCGCGGCAGGGGACAGGGCCAGCAGGCAGAGATCGTAGTCGGCCCCGGGGACCAGGTGCTTCAGCAGGAAGTGGTGGCTGGACGCTGGCACGATCCTGCAGGCAAGGGGGGAGCAGAGTCACACCGGGGGCCCGCCCCCTCTCCCCTGCACCCCGCCTCCTCTCCCCGGGCCGGACCCCCCTCGCCCTGCAGCGCGGGAGCCGAGGAGGGGTGCGGGGCGCCCCGGAGCAGCGGGCGTCCTCACCGGTAGATCAGCGTCTCGTCCTCGCTGCTGTTGTACTGGATCTGGAACATCCACACGGGCTCCCCCGGCCGCCCCGGCCCCCAGCTCACCAGCCCCGAGGTGGCCGTCACCTCCGTCACCTGCACGGTGGGCTCCGACTCCGGCGTCCCCTCGCCCTCCGCAGCGGTGCGGGCCGAGGCGGCGATGTCCGAGGGCCCAGGGCGGCCCCCGTCGGCGCTGCCGTTGCTGCCGTGGGGCAGAGCCAGCACCCGCAGCTCCACGCGGGCCGTGGCCTCGCCCGCAGGGTTGGTGGCGATGCACGTGTAGCCCCCCGCATCCCCAGCGCCCGTCACCCCGATCTCCAGGGTCCCGTTGGGGAAGGCGCGGGCCCGGGAGGAGTTGCCCACCAGCCGGTCATCGGGGCCCACCCAGTGCATGGTGGGCACGGGGTCGCCCAGGGCGCGGCAGCGCAGCGTGGCACGCTGGCCCTCCAGCACCCAGAGGCGCTGCGTGTGGCGGGCGATGAGGGGTGGCTCGCACGAGAACTCGGCCTCCGGCACGGCCCAGAAGTAGCGGCCAGCCAGGCCGGCGGGGGAGGCGCACGTCTCCAGGTCGTCGGGCCGCGCCAGGCGCCGCAGCCACAGCAGCTCGCAGTTGCAGTGTAGCGGGTTCCCGCTGAAGCTCAGCACCAGCGGCGCGGGGGAGGCGGCGGCGTCGCGGCCCCGCGAGAAGAGCGGGTCGGGCGCGAGCGTGGCCAGGCGGTTGGAGGTGAGGTCCAGGCGGGAGAGCTGGCCCAGCTGGGCGAAGGCGCCCGGGGGCAGCGCGTCGATGAGGTTGTGGTCCAGGTTGAGGGTGTGCAGGGCGGGCATGGCCCCGATGCCCGCCCAGGGCACCTGGCGCAGGTTGTTGTAGGACAGGTCCAGATCCTCCAGGCTCTCCAGGAAGTCGTCGAAGGCGCCCGGGGCGATGCGCCCCAGCTGGTTGCCGCTGAGGATGAGGTGCTGCAGGTTGATGGGCCCGCGCAGGCTGCCGGCGCCCAGCTCGGCCAGCCGGTTGCCGTCCAGGTGCAGGGAGCGCAGGCTCTCCAGGTCGCCGAAGGCGCGCGCCCCGATGCGCGTGATGGCGTTGCGGGACAGCGTCAGGTCCACCAGTCCCGTCATGTTGCGGAAGTCGGGCGGCCCCAAGGCCTGGATGAAGTTGTCCGCCAGCCGCAGCTCCACTGTGCGCCGGTCCACGTTGGGGGGCACGAACAGCAGGCCCCGGTGGGCACAGAGGGTGCTGAGCGACTCGGACAGGTTCTGGCAGACGCAGGGCAGTGGGCAGGCGGCCGCTCCGCTGGCCAGCAGCAGCAGCAGGAGCGGCGGGGCCATGGTGGGAGCCCTGGAGGGAAGGCCACAGTGCCCAGGCCGGTCCCCGGGGCCAACGTCCCCTCCGGGCTTGGGGGGCTAGGGGCAGGGCCTGCGGCCTTAGCGACCCCCCACGGGGGCAGAGGGCAGGCCGGGGCCTGCAGGGCCAGGCTCCCCCGAGTAAAGGTCACATTCCCCAGGCGCTTAGGGGGAGTCCAGGCGCTGGGGACAAGGTGAGGCCAAGGCAGGAAGCGGAGGTGGGCATGAGAGCAGGGAGGGTCCCGGAACTTCCTTCCTCTCGGCGTCCCCGGGAATCAAAGCCTTCCCTCCCCCCTGCCTCCGCGCCATCCCTCCCGCGCCGGGGAAGGCGCCCCCCCAGCCGTCCCCAGGACCGTCGCCGCTCCGGGCTGTCCTCCCCCCGCCCCGCGCTGCGCCCCGCGGCCCCCTCACCTGGTGTCCGGAGCTCAGGGGGCGCGGGCCGGCCTCCCCACGGGCCCGGCCGGCCCCCGCCGACCCCAGGCGGCTCTCCCGCGGGGGCGAGGCCCGGGGCTGACCGGCCGCCCGCCGCGCGCCCTCCGGCCCATGGCGCTCGGGCCCGCGGCCCCGGCTCCCTCGGTTCCGGCACCTTTTCCCGGCGCGGCTCGCGGCGGCGGCGGCGGCGGCAGGCAGGCGGGTGCACGCCAACGGGCGCGCGCCGCGGACACGCACGTGGAGGGTGGACGGGGAGGGGCGCGCGGGGACCCACCCGGGTCGGCCCCCGAGGTCACCGGGACACGCGGCCGCTGCAACGCCCACGATGACTCCCGCTCACGCCCGAGGCCCGGGCCGGCGCGGGCCCGCCGCGCTGCCCCCCGGCGCTGCCGCAGCGCACTCACCCTGGCACCGGCGCGCGCGCCCCCGGCCGCCCCGGCGCCCCGGCATCCTGCACCGCACGGGCGCCCGCCGCCGCCGCCGCCGCCGCGCGAACCGTCACTCTGCAGACAGGCAGACAAAGCGCCAGCTCGCGGGCCCCTTCACCATCTCCCAGAGACGGGAGTCTTTGTCACATGTCGCTGGGCACCCTCCCCAACACACCAACACATGCCCACACACCCACACGTCCCCGCACCCACAGGCAGGGCCGGGCGCAAACCCGCAGTTGCCGGGACCCTCGCGCTCAGAGACACGCTGAAGGTCATAACCGTTCTGCATCACCGAGTCACGTGGAGGGTCCCCAACAGGCCCGGGGGCCCGGGGGGTGGGGGGCTGGGGGCGACGCCCCCGGCAGGCAGGGCGGCTGCGGGGTGGGGCCGACCGGGCTCGGCCTCGGGCAGGCGCCGCGCCCCGCCCCCGGCCCCGCCCCGGCCCGCCCCGCGGCTCGCGGCTCCGGAGCCAACCGGCCGCCGCCTCCCGTCCCATTGGCCGCCCGCGCCGCGCCCGGCCCGGCGTCGGGACCTGCCCTGGCCGGCCGTGCGGGGCGAGCGCTGCAGGCCGAGCCGGCATCCCGGCCTCCCGCCTTCGGAACCGGGGGTCCGGGTGCGAGAGCCGCGGGCTCGGAGCCAGGTCGGGCACCAGAGTCCGGGCACCACCCGCCCCGGGCACCTTCTAGTTCACAGGCTACCTGGTGTCCCCCCGCCCCCCACCTCTTCTCGTCGCAGCCCACCTGGTCCCTGGGGGCTGGTAACCTTGGCAAGCGCCCTGGGCACGGACGCGAGTGTCTGGGCCCGGAGTGGTCATGGTGCCCAGATACCTCTGGGGAGTGGGGGGGCAGGGGACAGGGCCACCTCCGGCCTGGAGCTCATAAACCCCTGCCCTGTCCCAGTTAAAGGGGTGGGGCCACAAAAGGGGGTGCAGGCAGCACCCAGGAGGTTTAGAGGACCCTTTTCCCGACTGTGTGCGTCTAGTTGCTTATTCCATTTTCTCTGTTTTTTAAAAACGCATTTTTTGGGGGGAGGCGGCAATACCCACAGTGCGCGGGAGACCGTTTGGGGATCCACCTGGGCCTTCTGCCTCCTGAGCATGGAGCTCGTGCCAGCCTCCGTCTCTTCAGGGCTCAGGGACGTGTGGCACTGAGTGGGTAGCACCCAGAGCGCCGGCACCCCATCTGATCTTTGCCCCGTCCCAGTCTCGTGGCTCACCCTATCACAAAATAAGCCACACTGGGGTCCCTGCACGTGAGCCCCTCTGACAGCACCCCACCCTCTAGCTCCCAGGCGGTGGGGAGTGAGGAGCAGAAGCAGGAAACAGGAGGTGCTAGCCCTCTGCCTATGCAATGGAACCTACTAGAACAGGCTTTGCTGTGGGGGTCGAAGGCAAGGGCAAAGGCCTTTGTGTCCAGGCTTTTGGGGAAAGTGGGCTGTGGAGGCGTGTGGCGAGAGGCAGCCTCACCCTTTGGGGAGGGCACCCCCAGCAGTGCCCAGGAATGCCCCCGGCAGTGCTAGGGGAGCAAGATCCCAAGCGGGGTTGCAGCTGAGTGACTGTGTGGTCTCTGCACTGTCTCTCGGCCCCAGGGAGCGCCTCACCAGGAAGCTGGAGACAGGGCTGGGGGTGGGGGGTGCAGGGCAGCCCCCCCACCGATTGGAAACTAGGCAGACAGCGGGCACCCCGGAAGACAGGCAGACGCGGGGAGAACAGCTGTCTCGGGACTCATGGGCTTATTGAGGAGGCCTGGGAGAAACGCCCCCAAGGCGGCTGTGTCGACCCCGCGGCCCCCTGCCTTTCCGCTTTCCCCGCACGCACACTGCATGCTGACCCCCCCGCCACTTCTGCTCCACAGACCAACATCCCCTTCCTGCAAAACGTGCTGAACAACCAGCAGTTCCTGTCGGGCACCGTGGACACACAGTTCATCGATGAGAATCCTGAGCTTTTCCAGCTGCGGCCGGCACAGAACCGCGCCCAGAAACTGCTGCACTACCTTGGTCCGCCCCCCCCCCCCCGAACCTCCCCTCCCCAGCGCCTGGCCCGCCACTGTCACCCGCACCCTCTGCTCTGACCCCGCACCTCTCTCCTGGCCTGACACCCCTCTTCCCCCACGTGACTGCACTAGGTCCCCACTGGCTGCACCCAGGAAGGGTCAGCTGCAAGTGTGGGTGTCCCAAAGGAGCCCCCCTCCCCCACCCACCTGCTCTTCTGCCAACCCAGACTGCTCAGCCTGACCGGCCCTTTCTCCCCAGGACACGTCATGGTGAATGGCCCGACCACCCCGATCCCCGTCAAGGCCAGTCCCAGCCCCACGGACCCCATCGTCCCTGTGGTGCCCATAGGTAGGTGAGGTTCATCCTGCCCACTGGGGGAGGGGACCCCGCGCCCGTGGGAGGGGCGCTGATGGCCCGTGTGCCCTAGGCCCGCCCCCCACCGGCTTCAGAGACATCCTGCTGCGGGAGGGGCCCGAGGGCTTTGCCCGCGCGGTTCGAGGACACAAGGGGCTGCTGCTCATGGACACCACCTTCCGGGACGCCCACCAGTCCCTGCTGGCCACACGCGTGCGGACCCACGACCTCAAAAAGATCGCCCCCTACGCGGCCCACAACTTCAACAAGCTCTTCAGCATGGAGAACTGGGGAGGTAGGAGGGAGCGGGGCCTGCTCTGGCCAGTGAGGCCGGATGCCGGAAGGCGGAGGGTCGGGGTGGCGGCGGCGAGGTTGAGTTTGCCCGGCGAAGGTCAGCAGACCAGGAGGTGTGTGTGGGGGGGGGGGGGTGGGCAGGCGCCCCGCTGACCGGGCTCCCCTGTCCCTGAGCAGGAGCCACGTTCGATGTCGCCATGCGCTTCCTGTATGAGTGCCCCTGGCGGCGGCTGCAGGAGCTCCGGGAGCTCATCCCCAACATCCCCTTCCAGATGCTGCTGCGGGGGGCCAACGCCGTGGGCTACACCAACTACCCCGACAACGTGGTCTTCAAGTGAGCCTGCGATGGCGCGGGGCGGCGGGGATGCCTGGACCCGGGCTGGGGCCGAGGGCAGGAGGAACAGCCCTGGGACCGGAGTTCTCGGCCCCTTTTAAGCACTTCGCCTCTGCCCAGTGGCCTGGGTGCGCCCCACCAGGCCGATGGGCTGTGCCAAAGGCCTCTGCGGTGACCCGCCTGGCCGGGCTGCCCACATAGCTTTGCCCACACGCTGGCACCGTGGGTGCCCTGGTCCTGCCAGGCCAGATCCTTGTCCTCAGTCCCCAGGGGCTGTGTCTGCTGTGCTGGGCTTTGGGGACTCACCGCGTGCTCCCTCCCTCAGGTTCTGTGAGGTGGCCAAGGAGAACGGCATGGACGTCTTCCGGGTCTTCGACTCCCTGAACTACTTGCCCAACCTGCTGCTGGGCATGGAGGCGGCGGGCAGCGCGGGCGCCGTGGTGGAGGCAGCCATCTCCTACACGGGGGACGTGGCTGACCCCAGCCGCACCAAGTACTCCCTGCAGTACTACATGGACCTGGCAGAGGAGCTGGTGCGGGCCGGCACCCACATCCTGTGCATCAAGGTACGGGTGCCCCTCCTCCCCTCCCGGCCCCAGCTCCCCCCGCCCTGCCTCCCCTCCCGCAGGCATCATGCTGTCCCCCCCCCAGGACATGGCAGGACTGCTGAAGCCCTCGGCCTGCACCATGCTGGTCAGTTCGCTCCGGGATCGCTTCCCTGACCTCCCGCTGCACATCCACACGCACGACACGTCAGGGGCGGGCGTGGCAGCCATGCTGGCCTGTGCCCAGGCGGGTGCCGATGTCGTGGATGTGGCCGCCGACTCCATGTCTGGCATGACGTCACAGCCCAGCATGGGGGCCCTGGTGGCCTGCACCCGAGGGACGCCGCTGGACACAGGTAGGAGACGAGGCCGCCAGCCCATGGCCACTGCCCCGGGTGTGGCCCTGCGGGGCCGGGAGCAGCCCGGGGCAGGCAGGCCCATCTGGCCCTCCCTGTGCTTGAACCCCTGCAGGGGTGCCGCTGGAGCGCGTGTTCGATTACAGCGAGTACTGGGAAGGGGCCCGGGGCCTGTACGCGGCCTTCGACTGCACGGCCACTATGAAGTCGGGCAACTCCGACGTGTACGAGAACGAGATCCCCGGCGGCCAGTACACGAACCTGCACTTCCAGGCGCACAGCATGGGGCTGGGCTCCAAGTTCAAGGAGGTGAAGAAGGCCTACGTGGAGGCCAACCAGATGCTGGGCGACCTCATCAAGGTGAGTGGGGCCCAGGGCTCTTACCTGCCTCCGGCCTCGGGCGGGGGCCAGCACCCTGACCAGGGCCACTGTCCCCCAGGTGACGCCGTCCTCCAAGATCGTGGGGGACCTGGCCCAGTTCATGGTCCAGAATGGGCTGAGCCGGGCGGACGCCGAGGCGCAGGCGGAGGAGCTGTCCTTCCCGCGCTCGGTGGTGGAGTTCCTGCAGGGCTACATCGGCATCCCCCACGGCGGCTTCCCCGAGCCCTTCCGCTCCAAGGTAGGGGAGGCCCCGCGCGCTCAGGTGGGCGGCGGCCCGGGGGTGCGGACTGGCCTGATCCTCTCTGCTCCCCAGGTGATAAAGGACCTGCCGAGGGTGGAGGGGCGGCCAGGGGCCTCCCTGCCTCCACTGGACCTGCAGGCCCTGGAGAAGGAGCTGGTAGAGCGGCACGGGGATGAGGTGACCCCGGAGGACGTGCTCTCGGCTGCCATGTACCCGGACGTCTTTTCCCACTTCAAAGACTTCACTGCCACCTTCGGACCCCTCGACAGCCTCAACACCCGCCTCTTCCTGCAGGGCCCCAAAATCGCAGAGGAGTTTGAGGTCAGTGGCCCTTGCGTCCCCAGCCCCACTGGCCCCAAGGCCCCAGGCTTGAGACTTCCAGGCGCTGATGTTGGCGGTTTGGCCCGGAGCAAGAAACCAGGGTGCGGGCCGAGACGGGCCGGGGTCCTGGCTCAGGCACGGCCTCCCCACAGGTGGAGCTGGAGCGGGGCAAGACGCTGCACATCAAAGCGCTGGCCGTGAGTGACCTGAACCGCGCCGGCCAGAGGCAGGTCTTCTTTGAACTCAATGGCCAGCTGCGGTCCATCCTGGTGAAGGACACGCAAGCCATGAAGGTATGGCTGCCCCCGGGTGGCCGGGCGAGGGGGTAGGGGATGCCGCCAGCTCACAGCCCCTCTGCCCGTCTCCAGGAGATGCACTTCCACCCCAAGGCCCTGAAGGACGTGAAGGGCCAGATCGGGGCGCCCATGCCTGGAAAGGTGATTGACATCAAGGTGGAGGCCGGGGCTAAGGTGGCCAAGGGCCAACCCCTGTGTGTGCTCAGTGCCATGAAGATGGAGACTGTGGTGACCTCGCCCATGGAGGGCACTGTCCGCAAGGTCCACGTGACCAAGGACATGACACTGGAGGGCGATGATCTCATCCTGGAGATCGAGTGACCTCGCCCAGCCTGGCCATCCCCAGCCTGAGCCTCACTGGACGCTGCACTGAGGCCAGCACAGGCCCCGGTGCCCGGGCAGGACGCGCCTGTCCTCAGCTGCTTGTGGCAGGCGACGCAGCCTGCAGTGACTGCCCCCTCCTGCCGCCCGTCCCCTCCCTGCTGCCGGACAGTCACTCACATTCATCTCTTGCCAAACAAGGGTCTCCTTGCCAGAGACTGCAGGTGGTGGCACAGGTGGGCCCAGGATGCGGGGGAGCAGGTTTGGGGGGTTCTACCTCCTGGGGTGGGGGGGTGGGACACCCAAGAACTTTGCTCAATAAAACTGTCTTTCCCCTGTCTTTAGTGCGGGTGCTGAAGCAGCCCCTCGAAGGAAAATGGGGCTGCCTCTTGACTCACCTGGGCGTGGAGGGGGCTGGCTGTGGTGGGACCAGGAGTGGTCTCAGGTTAAGCCACTCCTGAGCGCCTGAGTCTGGCCGGTGCTGAGCTGGGAGCCAGGGGAACTGCTGACCTGAGAAACAGGTCTTGGTTCTAACACACACTAGCACAGTCCGTTAATCTGCCAGCCCAGACCCCCGGCTGCTGAGGCGCAAGACGGAGGAAGTGCCCCCACCTCTGGGGGCTCGGAGGGAGAAACCAACCCCGGGGTCTGAGGAGTAAGGACTGCAGCGGAAGCAAGGGCCCAGATCAGTTCCAGTCCCCTGGCCCCCACTAGCCTTCCCAACCAGAGCCCTAATTCTCTAAGCCTTTTTGGCCAGGGGCCATATGCTCCCAGGGCAGTCCAAGGGGATCACAGGTGAAAACCATGTTAATGGGGGGCACGTTAGTATTGAGACTAAGGAGCCAACTGGTAGGATGGGGGACTGCAGAAAGCAAACGGCACAACGGGGTTACGGGGGAGGGAAGTGCTGCTGGAGGTGGCTGAGGGGGCGCCCAGACAGACTGGAGGGACTCACCCTCCTGCCGGGCGCTGTCAATCTCTGGAGGTCCCACAGCAGCCAACCTGGGGGCAGAGTGGGGGGCAAAGGCACCTCCGTCTCCTTCGAGCCCCGGCCTCAGAGAGGGCGCAGGACGCCCTCTGGACAGGAGAGGAAGAACTTGAAAAATGGTGGTGGTGGGGAGAGCCCAGGGAAGTGAGAACTTGGGTGCAAACCAGAAGCAGCGCAGGACAGGACAAACTTCGGGGCGCAGTGCTGCTCGCGGGGCCGCAGCCCGTTCTGGGTCTCCTGGGCAGAGGGCGGCTCGGCAGCCAGAAGAGCCCTTTTTCTTCTCAGTGCCCATGTGTGGCTCCTCTGTCCAGGCCTGTTTTCCCTCGTGCAACATAGGGTGCAGGTGGGGCGCTGGTCCCGGTCCCTAGCCCCGAGCCAGAGCACAGGCCCCATGTAAGCTGGGCCCCCTTGTGCCAGGGAACGGAGCCCACCACGCTGACCTACCCAGGAGGAGGCAGCCAGGCCAGGGCGCACTCTGGGTGCACTCCCACCCCCAAACAGATGGATTCTCATAGGTCCAAGGCCGTGTTACCCAAGTTAAATCTCTTTAATGTCCCGATACAAAGTCCTGATGCAAAAAAGACAGTGAGAAACCCCTGGGAAGTGAGGGAGCCGCCGACCTGCCAGCCCTGAGCAGTGTTGCAGGGCGGAGGCGCTCAGAGCAGTCCGGAGGGAGGGCAGGAGGGAGGGCCTGGCTCCTGGGGCCCACCCCTGGTCCCCCGCTCCCAGCTGCTCCTCAGCCCCCTTCCAGAGGGGCTGCAGCCTTTGGCGATCTGCTCCTTCTCTTGGTCCCTGGGATTCAACGAACTCTGGCTTCAATCCCCTACAAAAATTCCTGAGATCTCGGGGACCCCAGCCAGCTTCTCCCCTGCAGTCCCCCTTGCTGGGCAGGGCTGGGAAGCCCGTGAGAGTTCATAGGCGTATGCACGGGAGCAGGGGTCAGGAGCAGAGGGGGGCTGCTGAGTCCCCAGCCCGCTCCAAAAGCACACACAGGGGAAGGCTGCCGTAGAGCTTGGGGTCCGTGAGAGGCTGGAGCAGAAGCAGGAAGAGTCCCACACCCAGGGCATAGCCGGCCAGCAGGGGCCGTCGCTGTGGGTGCTCCAGGGCCGCGCACACGGCAGGGAAGCCCATGTAATTGCAGAAAGAGTGGCAGAGAACTGGCCCGATCAGGTGTCCTAGGAGGGAGACAGAGCAGCTCACGGAGCGGTCCCGCCTTCTCCAGGCCCCCTCCGTCACACTGCCTCCCGCAACCCCACCCCCACGCCACTGGCTGGCTGAGGATCCCGGGTCAGCCTCTCTAGAGCACTGCGGGGCAAGAAACTTGCTGCTCTTGCAAACAACCAGCATTTCCGGTCTCCAACCGCTGCCCCGGGCCCCGAGAGATGAGAACCAACCTGTGCGGATGAAGAGGAAAGCAGTGTAGGCGCCGAACACAGCTGTGTAGGAGAACTGGAACGCTGGAGACAGGAAGCCAGGAGTGACCACACCTGCAGGCCCTTCCGGCTCTGGCCCTGTGCACCCTCAGCCAGCCCCGTCCCAAGCACAGGCAGGACCCCAGTGCCCTTGGCTGGCGAGCCCTCTGGCACCAGAGCCACCCCCAGCCCAGGCCTGCCCAAGGCGAGCCCTGTAGGACTCACCTGCAGACAGGAAGATGCTCCCCATGCTGCTCTGGCGGAAGCGAAGCTGCTCGAAAATGTGGTGAAAGTGGGCTGGGAGGGAGCGAAGCCAAATCGTCACAGTCCTCATGGCTACCCCGGCCCCAGGCCCACAGGACAGGGCTGGCCAGACTCACCAACTCCAAAGAAGAGCGGGCAGGTGAACACGGCGGGGCCCAGGCCCGTGCACGGAGCCAACATGGGGAGCATGCAGGCCCGGAACACCAGCTCCTCCGTCAGCGGCGCGATCACTTGGTTCCGCAGCCAGCGCATGTCTGTGAGGCAGCGGGCCCAGGAGCGCGGGGCTGCGGAAGATTCCAGCACTGAGGGACTAGCTATAAAGGGACTGAGGTGCAAGTCTCCCTCCCTGACTTCCTCGGGCTAACCCCAGGCTAATGTCAACACGGAGCAGGTCCGGGTGAGCGCTGTTCACAGCCTGCAGGGTGCTGAAGAGAAGCCGCCCCTATCCCGGGAGAGTGAGACCTCAAACTGTGCTGGAGACCAGCTCTTGGTCGAGACGGGGCGGCCAGTGATTAGGGCAGCAAGAAACAATGCTCTTTGCACGCGGCCCTGCAGAACACCTAAAGGTGTCAGGTCTCGGGCTGTATCCTGGTCAACACAGGGCATCTCATGGGGGCAGGTCCCAGCTGAGCGCATGGATTCCTTTCCCCACCATCCCAGAGACCCGGGCCAATGCTCTTAGGGCTCTGCAAACTCACCTAGGACAACTTTCAAGCCATCTGTCAGATCACAGGGACAATCCATAGAGAGCTGCATCAGAGGGCCCAGGAAAAGGATCTGCGGGCAGGGGACAGGTGCAGCAAAACAGTGATATGGGGGGGAGGGGCTGGAGACACAGTATAATGGGTATGTTGTCTTCCTTAGCTTCCCATATGGCCCCTGGAGTACCACCAGAAGTAGCCCTGAGCATGGCCAGATGTGACCCCAAAGCCAAAAAAAAAAAGCAATCAAAGGAAAGGTGCTAAGCATAACCCAGCTCCCTGACCCTGAGAGGCCTTAGAAGCAAGCATCTCGGCCACGATCCCGCCCCTGCTCAGCCCCTCTCCCATCAGTCAACAGCGGGACACAATCGGGGTCGCGGGCAGGTTCCAGCGGAGGTGGCCGCCGCGAAGCCTGGGGGAGCGGGGACTCACCATGGTCAGCAGCAGGGGCAGCAGGGCAGCCGGGAAAATGCCTTCCAGCCTGAAGCCCATCAGGGTGAGCAGGGATGTGCCTGGCTGAGCCACAGGAAAAGGGGGCATCAGTCTTGCTCCCGCGCCGGGTGCCCGGAGCTGCCCCGCCCCCCACCTCCTCCGCACCTGGATGCCCGTGAGTTCCCGCCAGAGCAGCACGCACAGCGGGGAGAGGCTGGACACCACCAGGACGCTGGTGAAGCGCCGCTTGATAACGGCGGGGTGGTCCCTACGGGGAGGGCAGCGGGTTCAGGGGGCTCGCCACCGCCCCCCGCGGCCCGGCCCGCCCCCGGCCGGCCCAAGCGCCGCCCGCAGCCCCGCCTCGCGCCGCGCGCGCAGCCCCGCACCTGGGCAGCTCGCTCTTCCACACGTACAGGCTGCCCACGTAGGAGCAGGCCAGGCTGAGGCAGGAGCACACCGACACCCAGCAGCACAGCCCGGGGCCCGGGCCGCCCAGCGCCGCCGCGTCCGGCTGCCGCTCCGGCCGCGACACCGACAGCAGGCGCAGCCCGTCCCCGCCCAGCGCCGCCATCGCGCCCGCAACCCACGGCGCGCAGCAGTGACGCGGCCCCGCCGCTCGGTGGCGCCTGCCGGAAGCGCGGGTGACGTCGCCGCCGCGCGCCCCGCCCCGCACCCCGCCCCGCGCCGGCGCCGGGCAGCCTCTCGCGGGCCGCGCGGGGAGTGCGGCGTCAGGTCGCGGGCCGCAGCCACTCGGACAGGTTGGCCACCTCCTGCAGCCACAGCGCGTCCTGCGGGGAAAGGCGTCGCGGTGAGGCCCGGCCGCCGCCCGCGCCCGCGCCCGCGCCCGCACCCCGCGCCCGCACCCGCACCCCGCGCCCGCACCTCCAGGCCGCTCCCCGCGCCGCCGACGGCCGGCGACTCCTCCGGACCCGGGCCGGGGCCGCCCCTCCGGAGCCTCTTCGTTTCTGGCCCGGCAGCGCCTAGGAAAGAGTCGGGCGCGGAGCGGGCGCAGGGGAGCGGGACCCCGGGCCGTCCCGGGCTCGTTCCGCACGCACACGGCTGTTCCGCCGAGGCGGCGCCGCCAGCTCCGCCCTCAGCCCAACTCGGGTTCGCGTCTCCCCGAGCCCCCGCGCTTCTTCCCTCCTTCCCGCCCTCGCCAGAGCTGCACTGGCGGCGCCCACAGGCTGCCACCGGCCGGGACTGCTCACGGTGGCCGCAGCGGCGCGCGCAGCGCGCTGTCCGAGGTCCAGAGCGACACGGGAAGAGGAAATTCCTCTTTCCCTGAAAGTTGAAGTTTTTCAGTTTGGGGGCCACACCGGGCGACGCTCAGGGCTTGCACGGGGTGGGGGACCTTATGGGATGCCGGAGATCCGACCGAAAGCGCGCAACCCACGGTCCCTGACCGAAAGCGCGCAACCCACGGTCCCTGAGAGATTTAGTTAAAGTGCCCGAATGCCTTAAACTGCACCGCACACTGAA